TGATCTACCGCAGATCTTACAGTAAACTTCACCTAAGAAGCTCCAACTAATAACAAATTGAACTTAGGCTTTTCAATTTAGAAGTAACTTTAAAATACCCACGTCTCAAACTCTATCAAACCATTCATACTCTCGTTGTACATGGAATTAAAGTTTAATAACAAATCTCCAAGCAATTCAAAATAGAACAGGATCCGTCTAAACACCCAGGGCTCTTCATCTCTTATTCCAAACTGTACAGGATGGTATTCACCCCCAACAACATAAATTTTATCCGAGATTACCCCATCACTCAAACTTCCACCTCCTCGATCTGTCTCAATCAATACCCTTCCCTTAAATCCTTTAGTAATTGTTTTGTTGTCTCTAATTCTCTATCCGAAAACTTTCTTAAGTAAATTTTATATGCATCCGATGTGCATCTTCCAATCTCTTTAATCTCCTCACGGCTTGCTCCTAAGTTCCATCTCAAGGATGCACCACCAATTCTAGAAGAATGTCCATACAATAGCTGTTTCCTTTTCGATCTTCTTTCATTCCATATTTCTCTCAAAGTTTCAATTATTTTCTTCTTGCTCATTTGCTTTTTCACACCTTCCTTCCTTAGCATAAAGATCTCGTTGGATGGTTTCTTCAAACCCATCGACTTCCACTTCTCCAGGGTCCTAACTGGATCTAGCAAAGACTGTTGCCTATTGATTACTATGTGCTTGATTTCTCCCGGAGCTGCCATTTTTGCATTATGAAGAACTATTCAAACCATCAACCCGTCCTCTGACCACAAGACATCCTGCCACTGTGGAACCACCTTGTTGGGGTCATCCAAAACCAACTCTCCTAATCGAGAAACCCCTCAAAACACCAACATTGCCACTGCTAGTAACGCCCAACCTTCTTCGCCTCGTTTAGGTAGCTCCTCCAACAAAATCACCATATCCGAAACCAGCACTGGCGGCCTTTTCTGATCAATTTCTTTATAGCCTGCTTCAATTTTCTTCGTTTCCTTCAGAAGTGCCTTAACCGCTAAGTCCTCCTTATAAGGGTAGTCCACTCCGTGAAATATTTGCCAAGCTTTTATACCCGCCAAATATGATTTAAGTGTATTTACCCGGACCGATTCATCATCTATTGCACTTTCTATGTCCCTCTTTGAAGCCCATACCACAAATCTCTTCAAAACTCTAGCATCAATCGGTAATAGATCCTTTTTCTCAATTTTCTTCAGCGACGTGAAACGGTGCAATTTAACAATTCCCAAATTATAACTCTTCAAGGTTCCATCAACCCACACTCCTTTAAGGTAATGCATTTTCACTTCATCCTCCTCCGTACTGTCAATTCCGTAAGCATCCTTCCTAAAAGTTCCAAATGGTTTCAATGTTTTCTTTTTGTTGGATTCTAACTTCAATAATCTTCCTTTCTTGTCCATTTTATTGACCGACTTTCTTGTCATGATGTTTTAATGTCACTTGCTTTAAAATTCTCGATAGGTCTGCTGGTATCTTAATCTTCACCTCGTTATACCAAAATAAATCGTCATCTAGTATACCTCTAGATAGTCCATCAGCTTCATTAGTTTTTGATGTCACATGTCTCGCAACAATATCACAAGCCAGGTGAGTCAACAACTGTTGTATTAGCTTCCACTCTTCATTAACTAACATATCCTTTGATTTTTGTTTCTTTACAGTTGACTCAGTAGTTGTGTTATCAGTCCAGACAACCAAAGTTTTACCTAAAACAACCAAAACAACCTTAGTCACCCAATTCTCTTCTCTCAACTAGATGTAAGTTGTTTCACGTACCTGCGATAGCTTGTACTTTTTCCAAAACTAATAGTCCTAGTCTAATAGCCACCGTTTTGGCCCAGGCTATAGTACGCTTCCCTTCATTCAACTCAAATGTTTGCCAACCCTTCACAAATTCAAACAAAGCCCAATTCTGTCCAATCAAGACACCCATACCAAATGATGATGATGCATCTCCTACCCAAGACACATCAATAGGATTCCTCTTGGGAATCAATGGTCTCGCATTAAATTCTTCTAAACATACTTTCCATTCCTGCAGATCTACTCTTACTCCTTCCGGAATTGACCTCAACGCTGACGTATTTATCCAACTTTTCAACCACCAATAAAAGGACCTCCAGTACGCCTTCATGTGTGGTACAATATTCACTGTATGTACCAACCTGCCTAAAAAGCTTTCCACCTGCTCATACGACCATAGACCACCTTCCTTAAGAAATTCATCAATCTGATCTCTCCTTTGTTTCAACTTATCATCAGGTAATTGTACTGTGTGCTCCTTTCCATTCCCCACGAAGCCTACATATCTTTGCTCCATTTTAAATTCAAAATTCTTTGCTGGGTTTGTTAATACTCCTAAAGAATTGCTTAACAATGTTACGTCTTCTAATGAAACACTTTGCCCGGGTCTTTTCAGCAACATGTTATCATCTACCCACCTGAAGATTTGGGGTAAATTAAAGATTTTCTCCATTATCAATTTCCAGACATGTGCCGGCGCTCCAAAAACTCCACAACAAGCTACACCACCAAATCCGACTGCTAAGTCCACCCAAAGTCTACCTTCAAAGTCCATGATGACTAAAAATCTTCTCTGGCTTGGATGATTAGGTAGCTGTCAAAACGCCTTCTTCCAATCAAAAATTGCAAATAACCATTCTCGAGGGTTTTCTACCAAAGATTTTGCTACAACGTTTAGATCATCCCAGTGAGTGTCAAAGTTATGTTTATCTACAAAGGAATTACCTAATGGGATTTCCTTATCATCTTTCGGGTACGAAAGATCATTGATTAACCTAATGGACCCATCACCATTGACCGCAATCCCCATCGGATTCGATCTGAAAAAGCCAAATTTCTTGTACAACTCTTCATGCGTAAACGGACCCGCCAGCCTTCCAGCTTCCGCATCACTTCTAATCGTTTTCTCAATTTGTGACTTTGCCAATAACGCCGATTTATGATTTGGGGGAGTGAACCACTTTCTATCTCCTAATTTGTGCTCAGGAATCACTAAACAAAATCCCTCAGTAAATCCATTAATCACATAAGGTATATCCTTCTCTAAGCCTGCCTCCATCATTAATTCTTTCCATTCACTAATCTTCATATTGCTCTTCACAGCTTGCGGCCAACTATCCTTTACTGAGAT